CTCTATCCACTGAGCCAAGCCAGTTATGGCGGGAGATTGTATTTTTCTAGGAATTTGTCCATTTCATCCACATTGTCCAGCTTGTTGGCATATAGTTGTTCATAGTATTTTCTTACAACCTTTCATATTTCTGTGGTGTCAGTGGTTCCTTATCCACTGTTGTTTCTAATTTTATTTATTTGGGTCCTCTCTGTTACTTGATGAGTCTGGCTAATGGATTATCAATTGTGTTTATCCTTTCAAAGAACCAGCTCTTGGTTTCACTGATTTTTTGTATTGGTTAAATATTTCTGCTCTAATCTTTACTATTTCCTCCCTTCTACTTACTCTGGACTTTTCTTGTTGTTTTCTTTCTAGTTCCTTAAGTTATAGGGTTAAAGAGTTTATTAATTTTTCATGTTTTTTGAGGTAGGCCTGTTGCTATGAACTTCCCTCTCAGGACTGCTTTTGCCGAGTTCCCGAGATGTGGGGTTGTTGTGTGTTCATTTTCATTTGTTTCCAGGAAGATTTTTTTTTTTTAATATATATTTTATTGATTTTTTACAGAGAGGAAGGAAGAGGGATAGAGAGTTAGAAACATCGATGAGAGCCGAAACCGGTTTGGCTCAGTGGATAGAGCGTCGGCCTGTGGACTGAAAGGTCCCGGGTTCGATTCCGGTCGGGGGCATGTGCTTGGGTTGCGGGCGCATCCCCAGTGGGAGATGTGCAGGAGGCAGCTGATCGATGTTTCTCTCTCATCGATGTTTCTGGCTCTCTGTCTCTCTCCCTTCCTCTCTGTAAAAAATCAATAAAATATATTTAAAAAAAAAAAGAAAAAAGAAAAAAGAAACATCGATGAGAGAGAAACATCGACCAGCTGCCTCCTGCACACCTCCCACCGGGGATGTGCCTGCAACCAAGGTACATGCCCTTGACCGGAACTGAACCTGGAACCTTTCAGTCCGCAGGCTGACGATCTATCCACTGAGCCAAACCAGTTTGGCTCCAGGAAGATTTTGATTTCTTTCTTGATCTTGTTGGTAACCCATTCATTGTTTAATAACATGCTATTTAGCCTCCATGACTTTGAATGTTTTTGGGTGTTTTTATTGTAGTTGATTTCTAATTTCATTCCACTGATATGAGAAGATGCTTGATATGATTTCAATCTTCTTGAACTTGTAGAGACTTGTTTTGCATCCTAACCTGTGGTCTATCTTTATGAATGATCCATGTGCACTTGAGAAGAATGTATATTCTGCAACTTTGGGGTGAGATGTTCTATTTTTTAAAAAATATATATTTCATTTATTTTTTTTACAGAGAGGAAGGGAGAGAGATAAAGAGTTAGAAACATTGATGAGAGAGAAACATCGACCAGCTGCCTCCTGCATACCCCCTACTGGGGATGTGCCCGCAACCAAGATACATGCCCTTGACTGGAATCAAACCTGGGACCCTTCAGTCCGCAGTCAACACTCTATTCACTGAGCCAAACTGATTAGGGCAAGATGTTCTATTAATGTCAATTAAATCCATCTGATCCTGTGTGTCATTTAGAGTGTCTGTTTTCTTGTTTTGTCTGGAAGAGCTATCGAGTGAAATCAGCAGGGTGTTAAAGTCCCCTACTATGACTGTATTGTTGCCGTTCTCTCCCTTAAAGTCTTTTACAAGTTTCTTTTATATATTTAAGTGCTTCTATATTGGGTGCATATATGTTTACCAGGGTTATATCCTCTTGTTGGATCGATCCCTTTAGTATTATGTAGTGACCTTTGTTGTCTCTTGTGATGGCCTTCATTTTGAAGTCTAATTTGCTACTCCAGCATTTTCTATTTACATAGAATTTTTTTCCCCATCCCTTCACTCTCATCTTGTGTGAATCTTTTGTTCTGAGGTGTGTCTCTTGTAGACAGCATATAGTTGGGTCATGTTTTTGTATCCATTCAGCTACCATAGGTCTTTTGATGGACGCATTTAATCCATTTATATTTAAGGTTATTATTGACAGGTACTTATTTATTGCCATTTTAATTCTGTATGCCTGGGTTTCTTTCTCTATTTCTTCTTCTCATTATAGCATTCCCTTTAGCATTTCTTGTAATGCTGGCTTGGTGATGATGTACTCCTTTAGCCTTTATTTTTTGTCTGGGAAACTCTTTATTTCACCATCTATTTTGAATGATAGCCTTGCTGGATATAGTAATCTTGGTTTCAGATCTTCTTTGGTATATTCTAAAATTTATACTTCTCCATGGTATATAAAACATTTATCCTAATTTCCATTTAAATCTTTGTAATTAATTACAATCGATTGAAGACTAAACTGCTGTGTGGGATTCTTTTTTTTTTTAGACCATTTTACTATTTTTAAATTGATTTTAGAGAGGAAGGGAGGAATATTGATTATAGAGAGATAGAAAAATCAATGATGAGAGAGAATCATTGATCGGCTGCCTCCTGCACATCCCCTACTGGGGATTGAGCCCACAACCCAGGCATGTGCCCTTGGCCGGAATCAAACCTGGGACCCCTCAGTCTGCAGGCTGACGCTCTATCCACTGAGCCAAACCGGCTAGGGCCTGTGTGGGATTCTTATGTATAAGGATCTTAACTATGGCCCAAAACATAGTCTTTCTAGTATGAATCCTTTGAAATTACTTTACGGTAAAGCATGTGGTTATTTGTATAAATACTAGAAAGGAAATGACATTGATTAATGACTTCTTAAAATCACCAATCTAAGTTATTTATTTAAGCCATCTCCTGCCATAAGCAGAGATCAGTATACTCTAGTCATCATTTGCGATGAAGAAAGAAGGTCAGCTTAAGGTCCCAGACACTTTTCATGTTCGAGGGGAGAGTAATGGTCCAAACCAGTGCTGTTTCCCACTGGGCAGTGGTCCCGGTTCTTTTTATTCATCTCCATGTCAGTCAGAAGCAGATCCACATGAGAGTTATGGAGCAGAGAACGGTTATCATCTCCCCAGGGCACGGCTGGGACCTGCGGAGGGGTCGGTCTATCATGCTCCCTGCAGTGTGGCTTCAGGAAGATGCTCAGCACGGTCACGCCACCCTGGGGAGCAGGACAGTAGGGGAGGGCCTTCTCTGTGGGCTGAGCCTCCCCCGCCGTGGGTGCCACGAGACACAGGTCCTGCCAGCTGCGCCTGGGATTGACCTAGCAGCCGCCGTCACCATTTTTGACCAGGACCACCCAATTAATGACTTTTTAAAAGAAAAACACAGTTGTTCAGTTTCCTTGATGTTTTGTTGCCTTTATTGACACTGTGCCCTAGAAACTGTAAACAAGATAAAACCAAAGAGTGATTTTTGAAACACCATAACATCTAAAGCAGAGGTTCTCAACCTTCCTAACGCCACGGCCCTTTAATACAGTTCCTCATGCTGTGGTGACCCCCAACCACAAAATTATTTTCGTTGCTACTTCATAACTGTAACTTTGCTACTGTTATGAATCGTCATGTAAATATCTGATATGCAGGATGTATTTTCATTGTTACAAATTGAACATAATTAAAGCATAGTGATTAATCACAAAAATATGTATTTATATATGTGTTTTCCAATGGTCTTAGGCGACCCCTGTGAAAGGGTCATTCGACCTCAAAGGGGTCGCGGCCCACAGGTTGAGAACCGCTGCTCTAAAGAGACAGCAAATGGAGTCGTGGTTTCCTGGAGCTGAGGGTGGAATGGGGATTGGCTGCACGTGGGCGGGGGTGGAGGTGGGTAGAGGGGTGGGGAGAGGGGGCTTTCTTGGTATGAAAATATTGTGGAACTGCATTTGGTGATGGTTGCACAATTCTATAAATTTACTAAAAACCATTGAATTGTAAATTAAAACAAGCAAATTTTATGGTAAGTTATGTCTCAAAACTGTAATATTAGATTTTTAAAAAAATTCCTTCAATATTTATTGAACTGTGAATGTTGCAAACACGGCTGAAACCTGAGACTCACACATGGATCCTCCCCACCCCCATCCCCACCCCCCTCTCCGCCCCAGGCTCCTCCTTGGGAAAGAATCCTAGAGCAGGACCCGCCCAAACACCAGAGGGGGGACAGGGAGACAGGGGGAGTGCAGGCAGGGAGGCGGCGGAAGTCGGGGGACAGGGCCAGTGTGCAATGCTGGATTCTGGGGAGACACACACAGGCAAAGGCCAGGACACCCATCTGCCGGGCAGCCGCAGAACATCAGGAAAAGACTGGCCGTTCAGTCCGTCCACCATGAAGCGTCTGCTGAGGGGCTGGGCCAAGTCACAGGGCTGCCTTCAGGGCACACCCGCCTGGGCCCGGGCAGCTGATGGCGGCCACCGGCTTCAGAAACTTGCTGTGTCCGCGCAGCCGTCGCTCCTTCTGAGAGCGGACCAGCTTCCCTGCTCCACGACCCCAAGACCCCGGCAACCCGGGGAGACGGCCAGGCGTCCAGGGAAGCCATCTTCTAACTTCCTGAGCTGAAGATACTTGGGCTGTAGCCTCAGGCACCACAGTGAAGGGCTCTGCGGGCTGGAGCTACGGCCTGGGATCAGCCTGAGATCACATCGCGGACGGGCGGGCCACCTCCTGGGCGAGGGCTTGGGACCTGTGACCCATGAGGGCCCGTGCTGCGAAGACTTTCAATATTAGATTTTTCAAAAGCAAGAGCTCCCGTGTGTGTGCGTGCGTGTGTGTGTGTGTGTGTGTGCGCGCGTGTGTAACACTGGACACTGATGATCCGCTCCTGATGCGAAGCAAGAGGGTGCTTTCGGCTCAGCCTGTGGCCCCGCAGCCTGCTCCCGGCACCCAAGCCCAGGCTGCTCACACTTGTGGAGCGCAGAGCTGGGGGCTCCCTGTCACAGGCCACCTGCAGCCCTGCTCAGCTCAGCTTCCATCAGCACCTTCTGTGCCCCATCTCCCTGGGGCCTTGGCACCAGCCTGTAGGGACTGTCTGGCAGCCCGAGGCGGAGAAGCCAGGAGCCCCAAGCAGTGGGCAAGGGCCACATTCAGGCTCACGTACAGCATGGTTGTTTTTAAAAAATATGTTTTTATTGATTTTAGAGAGAGGAAGGGAGAGGGAGAGAAACATCCATCGGCTGCCTCCTGCACGCCCCCTACTGGGGACCAAGCCCACAACCTGGGCAGGTTCCCTGACAGGAAACTGAACCTGCGACCTCTGGGTGCGTGGGACAGCGCTCAGCCACTGCGCCCACCGGCCAGGGCCACGGTGTGGTTTTCAGCTCTTTCAGGGACGTATTAAGGCATTAAACACAGTGTGGCTGTAGCTAACTGAAAGAACACAAGGAAAGACATCAGGACCCGAGGAATGTGTTAAGGTTAATGGTGAGGATGACGAGCTGAAGGAACATTTAGAATACACCTGCCTGGCACCCAGCGTCCCTCAGGGGCTCCTGGAGAGCGGCCACTGGTGCCCAACAGGCAGGTGCTCCGAGCAGGCGGCTGCAGGGGAGCCTGTGGGGGGCTCGGCGTGGCCTGGCGGTGGCGCAGGTGGGCAGGCCCTGGGCAGGCAGAGGCACACAGGAGGCTCTGGCATCTGCGGGCCCCAGGGCCCAGGGTTGGAAGAAGGGCAGGAGCCTCTGCCTGGGCCCCACTGCGCTGTTCAGCCTTCTTTCCCTCTACAGGTCACTGCTTCTGGGAGAAGGGAGGGTGTGATTAGGGAGAGACCAGACCCGGAGGGAAGCGGGGGTCGGCCCCACGTGCGAGTGTTCAGCTGGAAACCCCAGAATGCTCATGGTCACTGGAGGAGCTGAACTGTCTCTCCACTTTCCTTTGGTCCTTGATCTTGAGTCCAATGTCCATCCTCTTCTCAAAGAAGTTCACCAGCACAGACTCAGTCAGGATGGAGGCCAGGATCTGCTCGAAGGAGATGCTCCAGTCGGTGTCGACGGAGCCCCCGTTGCGGCTGGGGGCCAAGGGGCTGCGGGCCTCCCCGCCCACCAGCACCGTGTCGTCGGCCAGGTCCTCACACTGCAGGGAGCCCGTGCTGACCACCGAGTAGGAGGACATGGACATGTCGTCTTTGGTTTCATCATCAGACAGACGCTGGGAGGGGGAGCCCAGGCCCTCGCCACCGCCCCCGTCGCCCACCACCTGGCTCTCCTGCGGTGCTTTCCCAAGTTGGGTGTCTCCACCAGCTCTGGCCTGGGGGTCGCCCACAGCTGGTGGCTGGAGCTCCTGGGCAGGGTCCTGCGGGGTGTCGGGGGCTGGGGGCTGGTCCTCCCCGGGGGCCCCGTCCCGGGACTTCCTGCCGGGCTGCGCCGAGAACCGCTTCCCCACCTCCCCGATGCGCAGCAGCAGGCTGGCCACTGTGGCGATGGCGTGGTACAAGGCCTGCTCCCTGGAGTCTTCACTGAACATGTTGTAAAGCGTCTTGCACAGCTCAATGAACTGCTCCTTTTAAAGGGAAAAACAGAACAAGGGCAGGGAGCTGGTGGAAGACAGGTCAGGCTGCCAGTGCTGGCCACCTACTGCGTGGGGTGTGGTCTTGTTGGCACATCCACGCCCGCGCCTTGTGGTGCCAGGTCAGACTCAACCATGAGGGTTGGAGAGGGAAGGGAAGCGTGGCCTCAGAGGGCTCTATCTCCCAACTGCCCTTCAGGACAGAGAACGACCTGGAATCTCTCTGTCTGCGTCCTCTGTCAGCAGAGATGGGCCTTTTTCTATCGTGATTCTCTGGACCCAGTGACTACACAGATTTCCTCGCTGTGCTTTGGAGCCACCTTCAGCTTTTTATATCTTTAATCAGAGCGACTTCAACTCCTGACAAAGCTCTTTAGAGGGTGGTGACCAGGCAAGTGCGGCCGGTCAGTGAGGGAAGGAGATCCGGTTCCAGGTCCTGAGATCACACACGATGCCTCCTGCCCGCGGTGAGGTGCCCGACTGCAGGGGTCCCTTTGGGCAGAGCAGGGCCACCCTCAGGCTGGTCCAGCAGGTGTGGCTCAGTGGCTGAGTGTCACGGTTTGATTCCTGGTCAGGGCACATGCCCAGGTTGCAGGCTGGATCCCCAGTGTGGGGTGTGCAGGAGGCAGCCGATAGATGTTTCTCTTTCATTAATGTTTCTATCTCTCTCCCTCCCTCTCCTTCCCTCTCAGAAATCAATACAAATATATTTAAAAATAACTGCCTTTGGTTACATGTCTGTGGTCTGGCCTTGAGAATTCACTGAGACTCCAGGCTCCAAACCTAGAGACCAGCAAATCAACCGGGAGCCTGTGTGTGCAGAGCGCGCGTGTGGGCCCAGCAGCAGGAGCGCCGTGACACGTCTCCTTGAAGGGGGTGTGTCAAGCCTCTGTCCCTCAGAGGCCCACCTTCCCCAGTGCTTTTCTGGTTCGTGGGTCCTGAGTGACCGTGAGCAAGCTGTCCCCACGACACGAACCAACAGGTCCTGACACACCTGGCCTCCTGTCTTTCTGGACTCGTCCCTGCCATCTGACTAGCGGGATCCAGAGGCAGAGAGAACCCCCTCTGGGGTGCGGTGGGAGGACCAGCGAGGCCACTCACGCAGCGTCTACTGCAGGCTCGGGGGGCCTACCTGGTTCATCTTGGGAAAGTCCTTAATGGTCTCCTTCTGAACCTCCTTCTCCTTGGCCCACATCTGAAGGTAGTGCCGGTAATCGGGGGGGCTGGTCCCCTTCTCCTCTGCGAGTTGGGAGAAAAAATTAAACTCCTCTATCAAATGACAGAGGGCGGGGGCGGGGGCTGGTAGCGGGGAATGAGTGGGGAACGAGCGGGGTGGGGTGTGGTCTGGCATGGAGTTACCTGGCCCTTTTACAAACACCCTGGCATTTGGGGACGTGGTGAAAGAACACTCCAGAACACTCAGGGGAGGGGTCTCCCCTGGGCTACGCTAAAGTAGGTTTGACCTAAACTGATAAAGATGAGCCAACCCGCCTTCCCCAAGCCCCAGGATGGTGATGGGACCACGGGAGGCTGGAATGAGGGCGCATGAGAAGGGTCCTGGAAGAAAGCAGGCAACCGGGAGGAGGTGGCGGCAGCGGGGGTGGGGAGGGGAGGGGTTCACAGCTACTAGAAGATCCAGGCCTGGGGCTGACAGGAGCAGGGCCTCCCTCACATCCCCCCTTTCCACAGGGAGAGCCTTGGACTCAGGCGGGGCTTGCCATGTCCCCGGTGGGGGCCTTCCCGAAGTGACAGGGCACCCCGCTGGCCCCGCCTCCACGGCAGCAGCGGAGATGGCCTGTATATACCTCCTCCTTTTCCTTGGACGTCCTCACTTCCAGCTCCCTCGCCCTCTTCCTGCCGCAGGGCTTCTGGACACCGAAAAAAGAACACAGAACATCCTCCCGTTACGACTCCACGCTGAGGTCCGTGAGCGGCGCCGTGGTCTCCTGCAGAAGCCAACACGCCCCGGTGGCAGGCGCTGCTCTGCTCTCTGGCTGGCCGCCCGCCTGTCGGCAGGGGCGCTGCTCCTCTCCGCTTGGCTACATGAAACCCAGAGCCACCAGCTCGCACGTCCTGCCTTTCAAAGGGATGTAAATCGCTCCACTGGGTGTTTGAGCAAACGATGGTGCACGTTATGGAGAAAAACGCCAAGAACCAAGTTCTGTAATCTCTGCTGAAAAAGGTCAAACCAAAGGGGCCTAATTAGCAATTTGACCTTCCACCACACCAGCCGAGGATGAAGTTTTAAATACTGCTCAGCTCTGTATCTCTTCTTCTTTTTTAAATCCTCTCCTGAGGATATTTTTTCCATTAATTTTTAGAGAGAGTGGAAGGAAGGGAGTGACGGGGGAGAGAGACATCAATATGAGAGACACATCGATTGGTTGCCTCCTGCACCCTCTCCAGCTGGGCCTGGGGATTAAACCGGTGTGGCTCAGTGGCTGAGTGTTGACCTATGAACCAGGAGGTCACAGTTTGATTCCCAGTCAGGGCACATGCCCAGGTTTGGGCTCGATCCCCATTGTGGGGCGTGCAGGAGGCAGCAGATCAAGGATTCATCATTGATGTTTCCATCTCTCTCTTCCCCCTCCCTTCCTCTCTGAAATCAATAAAAATATATTTAAAACAACCCAAACCCTACAACCCAGGTATGTGCACGTGCCCTTAACTAACAATAGAAACCACGACCCTTTGGTGCGAGGCTGATGTTCTAACCACTGAACACACAGATCCGGGCTGCCCTGGGCATCTTGCTACATACATGCTGTTTGTAATTTCTGTTGGGTGTATTATCCTTGGTGTGTAATGTTCCCCTCATCCCCCCGAGAAGTCACAGGGCAGAGTGTTAGTCCCTTTGGGTAAGTACATTATACAGCACCAGCTCGACTGCTAAGGCCCAGGCCCAGAATGCCCCACCATCTGGATCTGAATCTCCCAAGGGCTTAAGTGCAGCACAGGGGTTTAAACAAACATTCACCCCTAACAGGAAGGTGTGTGGGACACGGAAAACATTTCTCAAGGAAGCACCCACCACCCTCCTCTCTGCCATGCACCTTGCTCGTGCTTTGCCTGGTCGCAATGACAGCGTTTGTGCTTGTTCCTCCGAATGAGACAACGGGACACTTTTTGCACATGGCTGTGGAGCTGACGCTCTGGTGCCTGCACAAGCCCCCCGTGCTGCGTGCCCTCACTGACCACCCATGACAAGCCCTTGGCTATGGGTCCTCCTCAGGACTTAGCCACTCAGGAGCGTCCCTGGGACCAAAAGCTTGCAGGCCTCCTGACCGTGCAGGGAACTGTGAGGACGACAGAGCCCAAGGCCTGGAGGAAGCCCAGGGCAGAGGGTGCCGCTGCCCCCAGGGACTGACCTTGAGCCTCCCAGGGCAGGTAAAGATCCAGATCTGAGGCCAGAGGAGATGCTGGAAAGGAGAGGGGGGAGTGAAGGGCACAGGGAGGGAGGGCAAGGCCAGAGTCCAGGAAGGCAGAGACAAGAGAAATGAGTGAGAACACCCCAGGAATCTGCCCAGAGAGAGGCAGTGCCCTGGTTCGCGAGCACCCCAACAAGGCAGGTTCCCCACCCCTCAGGGCTGCAGGCCACCTGTCCCAGCAGCGCTCACCTTCCGAGGAGCTGTCCTCAGTGAAGTAGTGGGCTGCTTCCAGGGCTGACTCGGCCTCCTCGGGGCTCAGGGCTGTGCTCAGAGCAAAAGGAGGGCGAGGGCAGGGAGAAACAATGTGACTCTGGCGAGGCCGTCCTGAGTCCTGGATAAGGTGTGCCCCCCACTGGCGTGTGCCCCCACTCCCTGCCCGCCATAGAGCCCGTGGTCATCATGAAGCCGGGTTCTGGTTATGGCTACTTTCTTGACTTTGACGTTGTTTTTGAAATGTAATAGTTGTCACAGGTAGAAGTCTAGCCAGTGCAGCTGGAGGCCAGGGAGCGGCCAGCCTCCCTCCCTGTGCTGTGGCCCAGAGGGCCCTCTGATGTTTGTGCTCCTGCCAGCGTATGTGCAGGGACCACCTGCGCACAGTAACTCGCTCTTCTCACTCCCTGCATCCTGGACACCAGTCCACATGGGGACTTTCTCTGAAAGTGGTCCCCGAGGGACCCACACGGTTCAGTGGGGCGTATTCTCCCTGTTGTGGGAGGGAGTGCAGTGCGGGCTGCGCAGTGTGTGGCACTGGGGAGGTGGCAGGGCCTGGCCCAGTGGGAGAGAGCGCCAGCCTCCCTCAGCAGAATCATTGGTGGCCAATACAACTTCCCTGGAGGCCACTGTGGCTTGGGCAGTGAGAGCAGGGCTTCCCGCTCTGGCTGCACAGAACCGGCTTTAAAACTACCCTCTGGGGTGGGTGTGGCCCCAGCATTTAGCAAATCCCTCCCAGGCAGTGCTGACACCGTGGCCAGCAGCAGCAGGAGGGCCAGCAGGAGGGCGGCGCCACCCAGAGCAGGGCCTGGGGCCAGGACTTCCACCTGCCCAGCCCCAGCCCCTCAGGGACCCGCCCTGGAGAGCTCTCCTCAAAGCCACTCTAGCTAACTCTCAGACGAAGATGGGGGTGCGCCTCAGCACTGGCTCATGGGGAGAGGGAGCCCCCACTCCACTTGCCCCTCCTCCCCCAGGGCCTGTGCTTGGATGCTGCAGGGCAGCTCTGGACAGTGAGGGGCCTTCCCCGGGGAGTGGGAGGGAGGCTCACCGGGGGGCAAGTGCAGCTTGTAGAGGACCTTGAGCTTCTCCGTCAGGTCCCCGTGGTACATGCCGCCTGTGGAGGAAAGAGGCTCACTGGCAAGAGGGCTCTTACCCCCACGCCTGCCCTCTCCTCCTCCCCGTCTCCTGGGCCCTCCTCACAACTGCCACCCTTGGGGAGGGTCCTGGAGTGGGCCCAGGCCTCCTGCTGTCCCGAGCTCCCCCCTTCTCTGGGGCCCACAGACCCAGCCGTGGGCAGCACTGGGCTGAGGGACGGAGGAACCCCATTGGGCCCCCACGTCTCCAGTGGAAAACGGCCCTGAGCCACTCACTCATCCCTGTCACGAATTCCTTGAAGTTGATCAGTGAGTCCTTGTTTCGGTCCAGGAGCCGGAACATGCGCCCCGCCAGCACGGGCGTGTGGGCGCCACAGGCCCAGGGCGTCAGGCTGGCAAAGAGTTCCTGGAACTGGCTGGCGTCGATGCGGTACTGCTCCAGGTAGGGCAGGCTGGGGTCCCGACGCACAGCGGTGGGCCTGCTGCTCCCCCAGTACTGACTCGCCAGGTGCTTGGCCTGCAGGGGCACAGCCTGGTGAGACGGGGCCCACGTGCCCACCCTCCTCCTCCAGCCATGGCTGCGGAGGCCCGAGTGTGAGCGCCGAGCTGCACAGCCTCCCAGGACCTCAAGCTAGAGCCCCAGCCCTTGTTCACAGGTGTGGGTGCTGGGACCGGTCATGGTGGCCATGGTGGGCGAGGGGCAGCGCTGGCTCGACTGTTCTGACCCTAAGGCCACAGCACAGCGGCCACCTCAGGGGCTGAACCAGAGGCAGACGGGGCCGAAGGGAAATGACCGGAACCGACCAGTGTGGCCTTCAGCACCCTTTTCCCTTCGCCTGCTAACAGCACCTGGAAGGCCCCTCTGTCCCAGCCTCACGCAATGGGGCAGGAGATGGCCCTTCTGACCCAGTGACACTTTCCTGTAGTCACGGCACCGAGCCTTTCGCTAAAACCACTGGAAAGAAACATCTCCTTCCACGGGGCTACTGAGGACAGGGCGACCCGGCGCCGATGACAGCCTGCCACTCCGCAGGGAGAGCAGCCCAGCGCACGCGGGCTGGGAGCCTGACAGACAGCGGGTGAGCCGGACGCGGGCTGGGAGCCTGACAGACAGCGGGTGAGCCGGACGCGGGCTGGGAGCCTGACAGACAGCGGGTGAGCCGGACGCGGGCTGGGAGCCTGACAGACAGCGGTGAGCCGGACGCGGGCTGGGAGCCTGACAGACAGCGGGTGAGCCGGACGCGGGCTGGGAGCCTGACAGACAGCGGGTGAGCCGGACGCGGGCTGGGAGCCTGACAGACAGCGGGTGAGCCGGACGCGGGCTGGGAGCCTGACAGACAGCGGGTGAGCCGGACGCGGGCTGGGAGCCTGACAGACAGAGGGTGAGCCGGACGCGGGCTGGGAGCCTGACAGACAGCGGGTGAGCCGGACGCGGGCTGGGAGCCTGACAGACAGCGGTGAGCCGGACGCGGGCTGGGAGCCTGCAGACAGCGGGTGAGCCGGACGCGGGCTGGGAGCCTGAACAGACAGCGGGTGAGCCGGACGAGGCTGGGAGACTGCACAGACAGGGGTGCAAGACGGACGCGGGCTGGGAGCCTGACAGACAGCGGTGCAGCCGGACGCGGGCTGGGAGCCTGACAGACAGCGGGTGAGCCGGACGCGGGCTGGGAGCCGGACAGACAGCGCGGAGCCGGACGCGGGTCTGGCGAGCCTGGACAGACCAGCGGGCGTGAAGCCCGGAGCGGTGGAGCCCTGACAGGACCAGCGGGTGAGCCAGACGCTGCCATGCGTGAAGCTGTGCACGCCCAGGCTTTCGTCACACAGGCCAGGCGTTCCCTCTCCTGTGAGCTGGCGAGCGGGTTTTCTAACACTAAGATCGTGCCCTGCCTAAACTCCAAGGACTTCCTCCCACCACATGCAGTCTGGCCGCTGCATGAGGATGCATCGGGGACAGGATGGGGCCGGTGCTGCCCTTGCTCTTGGCTGTCACCTTAAACACCATGTAAAGGTCCTCCAGCTCTTCCACTGAGAAACCAATGTCCCCAGGTATAGCCCGGACCTGGGAGGAGAGAGAGAAACGAGTGAGTGACAGCTTCTCAAGTTCCCGCCGTGGTGAAGGCGAGGCGCTCTGAATCCCCGCGCGGATGACGAAGGAGGAGAACCGTCTTGGTGCTGCCCGCTGGTCAAGCACAGGAGGCAGTCCATTCAGGAAGGAGGGTGTGGTCCATGGCTTCCCTCCACACCACCTGCCGCTCGGTTCACACTCCCTCCCGGTGGGGACGGGGAGCTCCCTGTCCGGAATGCCCGGTTAAGGACACGGGTGAGGGGCAGGCATCGCGTGGCTGCTGTCTGGGCCCCTGGGAAGACCCTGACACTGGCTCTTTGGAAATCGTTCTAGAACTTCTCATGAAACCCTCTCTCCAGAGATGAGGGGAACAAAGGCTAGAGCAGGCCTCCAGTGGGCTGGGGGGGTGGAGGGTGTCTGAGGGTCACTGCCCAGAGGCAGGGCACTGCCAGGCGAGGGCTCAGCACAGAGTCAGGTCGCGTTCGGCCTGTGGACACTGAGTGTCAGATACGTTTCCCAGTGACCAACCCACGAGCAGGACACAGTGACTGGCACAGGCGCCCTGGTGCCAGTCCCACCGAGGCAGCACTAGGGAACTGCACCTGCCCCACCCTGAGGGGAGCCCTGAAGGCAGCACAGCAGGAGCACCCAATGGGGTACCACCCCACCTTTGCCCCCGGCAACCTGGGGCCATCATACCACACTCCTCTTGGCCGTATCCTCCAAAGACTGGATCACTTTCAGCCTCTGTTTAAACCTCATCTGTTCAATGTCGTCGGCCCTCAGGCTGCTGAATTTCTATGGGCCAAGGGTGACTCAGTGAGGTGAGGTAAAACCACAGAGCAGAGGGCCACCACTGCTGGGCCACCCGCACCACAGGGACCAAACGAACGGCCTGGCCAAACATCCCCGGTCAGTGCTGACCTCATAGGACACTTTAAGGAGGTCAAAGATGTCCACCTCTTCAGGAGGGTCATCTCCACTGGTCAGCAGGGCGTGGAGGTGTGGGATGGGCGGAGAAACACTCTGCTTATTGACCACATTATCCAGGTATCTGGAGGGATTAAAGGACAGAAGTCTGGACCGCTAACAGGCGACAGTGATGTGGAGGGACTTAATTTGCATAGTCTCCCAATTAATGAAGGAGCCTGCCGAGGGCTGAGCATCCTGCAGGGCGGTGAGAGATGAGCCCTGCACATCAGTTATCCCCCGGGAGGTAGTGGAGAGAAGGCCTTGCTCCCTCAAGGCCTGAGGCAGCCAGACTGTCCTCTTGGGTCCCATGGGCAGGACCCTGGATAAGCCAGGTCCTCACATACTGGGAGACGCTTTGTCCATTGGAAGGATGTGCTCCCCACCTTTGTCGAGCCCTCGGGGACTTGGGGACTCCCTGGCCAGGAAGAATCAGGGACCAAAGGAATGCCCCGGGAGAAAGGCGCAAGGGGCCCCGCTGTGGGGGGTCGTAGGGACCTGCTTCCCCCGGGACAGCCTTAGGACAGGGCTTGACCTTGGCCGGCCAGGATCTCACGCCCTCCCAGGCTTGCTGGGCTGGGCTGACACTCAGGTGGGAGAGGGTGGCTGATCTACACCATAGGTTCCCGCCCAAGGCCCAGTGTTTCTGGTGTGAGAAGGGCATGAGAACCGTCTCAGACTCTGGCCACTGGCTGAACCTCCCACAGCACCTGGGTTGGCTCAGCAGTTGAGGGGCAGTGCCCCAGGCTGTCCTGGGCAGCTGGCATTCCAGGTGGGCCAAACACGTGCACACGGGCAGCAGGACTATACAGAGCTCAGGGTCTCGGCTGGAATGAGGCCAGGAGGGGCCTGGATGTAAGTGGTCTGAAGGCCAGGCTGGGGGACTCAGCTCCTTTGTACAGAGAACCACCAGTGGTATAGGGAGCCCCCATGTCCAGGGGAGAGATGGTGATATTCTGATCAGCAAGATCCCTGTGGGATGCTGGTGGGTAAGAGGGGAGCAGGGAGAACCATAAGGAAGCAGGCTCGGGGCTCATGGCAGGAGTGTCATGGGCCTGGAAGGAGGGGCTGGATCCTCCAGAGTGTCTACGAGGACTGGAGAGGAGGAGGATGCCAGGACCACTTTTCAGCAATCACGGCAGGCCCGCGTGAGCCCTCGGGCTGGGGGTGGGAGGAGTGATGCTGCTGGGCTAAGGGAGGCACAAGCAGGAGGCCCTGCTCCTCCCTGCCCAATGGCCCTCCTGCCCAACATGCTTGAGCTGACCCCTGTTTCATCTTCTCCAGGTGGCGATCACTGCCCTCTGCCATTTATCTCCCACTGAGAGGAGGCCCCAGCCCCCTCCTGGAGTGTTCCTGACTCTAGCCCTGGCTGGGCTCTTGCTGACCAAGGAGTGCCCAGGGCCGAGGAAGGGCGGGCTCTCCAGCAGGAGAAGGGAGGCCACTCGGTCACCTGCCCAGGATGGTCATGGCCTCGCCCTCGTCGCTGCAGTCCAGCAGCTTCTTCATGTTGGCATCCAGGATGGCCAAGGCCAGCTGCAGGACCACCTTGATGCCCTCGTAGAAGAAGCAGTCGACAATGACCACAGCGCTCTCGAAGGGCATGACGCTGAGGAAGAGGGTGAGGAACCAGGAGAGCGAGATGCTGGCGATTACCCCGAGGTCTTGCATCTTCTCAGAGAGCTGGGGCAGGAAGTCTCTCGTGAGCTCTTCGAAGATTCCTTGGTCCACCAGGGCCCCTAGTGAGAGCACGCAGAAGTGGACGGTGGCCCGCGTGGAATCCAGGGCCTAAGGGGCAGGAAGCCCAGGGGTCCCTGGCCAGCTCCGCCTATTCAGCTGCAAAGTGGAGCGCCACATGCAGGCAGGCCCTGGTTGTCTCACCAGATTTCCTGTGGACGCCCCAGGAGTGGCTGGCAGGAGGAGATGTTACACATTTGGTGGTTTAAAATAATTATTTCTTCCATTATACTGGGGATTTTTTTCTGGGACAGTAACAGTGATCTTGGTGGCTTCTGTGTGTACCTGCCTTGAAGCTGATGAACAGATATGATTCTAAAGGACCCCGAGAGTAGAGACCCCTGAAACGAATCTTGAAAGAGCAGACATACTTTTGTACATCACAGAACACATTGGCAAGTGCACTTCCACTGCTAACACAGAACCCCTGCTGAGGCCGTGAGAGCTGGGCTGGGTAAGAGGTGCACGGTGTACTGTACACTCTAGTTGTGAGGCTGGAAATTGTCCACAATAAAAAAGCTTAAGAAGAGTTAGATGTTTCGGAATTTAGGCACCAGCTGACTCTGACCCACCACCAGTATGTAAGGCCTGCTCTTCCTGCAGCCATCCCAGGGGTCCACAGGCAGTCTGCCTGGACGGCCAGGGCTGCCTGCATGGCTCTCCACTTGGCAGCGTCACGGTTTGTCCAGTGGGGACAGGGGCTGTCTTCAGCCTGCAGCCTCCGAGGGCTCCCGTGTAGGACATGCCGGGCAGGGAGCCAGCCCAGGGAGGCCTCACCCTGCAGCCACCAGCCGGCAGGCACTCACCCACCACCCTGGTGTTGTAGTAGTCGGGCAGCATTCGCTCGCAGAGGGCCACCAGCAGCCAGAAGGCCTCCTCCTCGCTGCCATAGAGCAGGAGCACAGAGGTGACGATGTTCATGGCCTGTGGGCACAGAGATGGTGAAGGAGGCTCCGGAGCTGGACACCAAGGAAAACTGTCAATTCCCCCAAAGGGTTTGGCACTACAATCAAGTTTGGCGACAACAAACCATCCCACTGGGCTATGTATAATTTGTCAAAAAGTAATTTGCAGGAAATCAACTTGACAAAAACAGTCAGCTACGTCCCTCAAATTGGGCAGCAGGCACTTGGAAAACTGAGAAGGCAGATATGAGCGCGTGGCACTTCTTGAGTGGCATCCGGTGTCTGAGGTGTGTGAGCACAGGTGGACGTGTAAGTGAGCTGTGTGCGAGGCTCTATGGCTACAGGGAGACTATGGCAAGACTGGGACCCGCACAGCACTTCAGTGGTGACATCTTAGCTTAAAAATTACTTAAAGCTCGCATACCGGCTTCCCGTGCACTGGTGAGATTCGTGCAGAACACTGGCCCTACAGAAAGTGATTTGGGGGGAGTTGGCCTGTTTTTCTGAAGCCCAGGAGCAAGCTATGGGAAACAGGAAGCCATCTGACCTGACCAGAAAAACGCCCGCTAGATTTACAATCAAACCTGCCAGAAATGCAAATCAAAGCTTCAGTGAGATGACACCTCACCCCATGAGGATGGCTGTTACCAAAAACACAGACAATAACAAGGGTTGGTGAGGATGAGGAGAAACTGGAAGCCTTGTGCATTGCTGGTGGGAATGTAAATGGTGTAACTTCTGTGGAAAATGCTATGGCAATTCCTAAAACATTTAAATATAGAATCATTATATGACTGGCACTTCTACTTCTGGGTATATAAACAACATAACTAGAAGCAGGGACTGGAACAGATACTGTGTACTCCGTTCATAGCAGCATATTCACAACAGCCAAAGATGAAGGAAGCCAAGTGTCCATCCTTAGATGACTGGATTAACAAAGTGTGTTCTAAAAAGGCAGGAAACGCTAACACAAGCTACGACATGAATGAACCTCGAGGATACTATGCTAATGAAATAAGCCAGACACAAAAGGACAAATACTCTCTGAGTCCACTTATCCGAGGTTCCTCGAGGAGTCAGGTTCACAGAGACAGAAAGAACAGTGGTTGCCAGGGGTAGCTAGGGGAATTGCTGAAAGAGTTCTGGCAATGGATGGTAGTGAAGGCTGCACAGATATACTTAATGCCATAGGGCAGTGATGGCAAACCTATGACACGTGTGTCACCTCTGACTCATTTTTTTGGTTGATTTTTCTTTGTTAAATGGCATTTAAATATATAAAATAAATATAAAAAATATGTCTTTGTTTAACTATGGTTGCAAATATAAAAAAATTTCTATATGTGACACGGCACCAGAGTTAAGTTAGGGTTTTTCAAAATGCTGACACGCCGAGCTCAAAAGGTTCCCATCACTGGCATAGAGTGTACACTTAAGAATGAATGGTGGAATATGCTGAAGAAGGAGAAACTAAGATGGCGGCATAGATAAACACCGGGAAATTTCTGCTTCCCACAACAATCGATAAATGCATCAGAAACACAAGGTGGACATCATCCAGAACTACAGGAGGGCTGGCTGAGTGTAAATTCTACAACTAGAAGGAAAGAAAAGCACACTGCGAGCGGGAGGAGCTGCGGAGGTGGCGTGCAGAGGTACGGGGGCTCGCGCGCGCGGAAAGGGTCTGGCACCTGAGGACGCGGCTGTCTTTTTGAATCCGGAGGGAGACACAAGCTCCCGACGGCTCTGAAATCCGGTTCCGGGAAGTCTCTGGGGACCCAGGGCTCATACGGGGAAATACTGGACTGTCTGGCAGCGGGCGAGCTTGAGAGCGGCTTTCCCTCAGAGGTGCTTGCAGCCGTTGCCGGGACACTGGGACTCGCGACTCCTTAGGGCAGGGCTGAGGCTCCGCCATAGCTGCTTTCTCAGCCCTTTGATTCCTTGAGACCCCGCCCCACCCAGGCTGCGGCAGAGGCTTTTGCATATGAATGCCCCGGCCATTTGCAACCTGTAATTACCTAACCGCAGCCGGGCCAGATAGACTCAGAGCTTCCAAGAGAAGGCCCAGGCCCCACAGCGGCTTGCATTGCTACACAGCTGAGCATCATCAGGGCAGCTGATTCTCGCTGCCAATTGCCCTGGAGGTCAATTCCTCCCAGTGATCCTACAACAACCAAGGCATAGCTACAACAAGACTGTGCACAAAGCCCACGAGGGGGTGCACCAAGAGTGTCCACCTCAGGTAACTGGGGAGGCTGAGCTACTGGGCCCTACAGGACACCTAGCACACAAAGCCACTCTATCAACACAGGGAAGCAACCAAAATGCGGAGACAAAGAAACAGGTCACAAATGGCAGAAATGGAGGAAAGCAAACGATTGGATATAGAGTTTAAGGCCACGGTTATAAGGTTTTTCAAGAATTTTATGGAAACCGCCGATAAATTTAATGAATCCCTCAATAAGTATAGGGAGACCATGGAGGACATGAAAAAGGACCAACTAGAAATTAAGCATACACTGACTGAAATAAAGAATAATTTACAGAGATCCAGCAGCAGAAAAGAGGATCCCAAGAATCAAGTCAAAGATTTGAAATACAAAGAAACAAAAAATACCCAACCAAAAAAGAAAAGAGATTCCAAAAATATGAAGATAGTGTAAGGAACCTCTGGGACAACTTCAAGCGTACCAACATCAGAATTATAGGGGTACCAGAAGGAGAGAGAGGGCAAGATATTGAAAACCTTTTTGAAGAAATAATGACAGAAAACTTCCCCTACCTGGTGAAAGAAATGGACTTACAAGTCCAGGAAGCGCAGAGAACCCCAAACAAAAGGAATCCAAGGAGGACCACACCAAGACACATCATAATTAAAATGCCAAGAGCAAAAGATAAAGAGAGAATCTTAAAAGCAGCAAGAGAAAGACAGTCAGTTACCTACAAGGGAGTACCCATACGACTGTCAGCTGATTTCTCAACAGAAACCATGCAGGCCAGAAGAGAGTGGCAAGAAATATTCAAAGTGATGAATAGCAAGAACCTGCAACCAAGATTACTTTATCCAGCAAAGCTATCATTCAGAATAGAAGGTCAGATAAAGAGCTTCACGGATAAGAAAAAGCTAAAGGAGTTCATCACCACCAAACCAGCATTATATGAAATGCTGAAAGGTATTCTTTAAGAAGAGGAAGAAGAAAAAGGAACTCTTACCATTTGCCACAGCATGGATGGAACTTGAGAGCGGATAAATACCACAGGATCTCACTCATTTGTGGAATATAATGAACAACATAAGCTGATGAACAAGGACTGATCCAGAGACGGAGAGGCATTGATTGGACTGTCGGGACTTGGAGGGAAGGTAGGGGAGGGTGGGGGTGGGGGGGGGTACGGGGGAAAGATCAACCAAAGGACTTATATGCAAGCATATAGGCCTAACCAATGGACATGGACAACGGGGGGGTGAGGGCATGAGCGGGGGTGGAGGGCGTGGGGGGTAGAGGGTAACGTGGGGACAAGGACACATATGTAATATCTTAATCAATAAAAATATATTAAAAAAAAAAAAAAAGAAAAAGAAAAAAAAAAAAAAAAGAATGAATGGTGAAGGCGTTAAGTTTTATTATGTGTTTTTATCACACACAAAAAATAATCAAATGACTCCAGGACCTATACCAGAAGCACATAGAAGGTAACAATATATAGCATGGGGATGAGATGAGCAATTGTTTTTAATTACACCTTGGAACGGCACCCTTGAAGTTATGATGTGAGGCCATCACTCAGGCCCAGGGCCATGGGGACCTGCTCCCATGAGCCTCGGGTGGGTGATGCTCTCTGGGTCCCTGATAAGCCCCTTACCTGGCAGTAGCCGATGGTAGGGTTTCGGAAAGCATAGGCAGTCAGCACCCGCCGAAGCGCGGCGATCCCGAGCTCGTTCTGGAAGGCAGGGTGCTCGGGCATGGAGCGGTGGAGGTCTCGCTCAATCTCCTCCGTGGCCAGGCTGTACCTCCCTGTGGACTTCTCCACCAGCTCCGAGTAGTAGCCAGGGTGAGTCACCATCTCATTCCAGGCCCCTGTGGAGACACGGCTGGCGCTGTCTCCTCCCCTCCTGGGGCTTCAGGGCAGTGACAGGCAGTTTGGAGACGACAATGGACCACAGAGAAGTGGAACTTTGGGATCAGTCATGTGGTGGGAGGCAAAGGTCCCCTCGTGACTGCTCCTTGGGGGCACCCCACCCAAGTTCCAATGGCTGATACCCCTCCTCCTGAAACTGTCCAAGTGGCCAAGGGTGTGCATGTGGTCAGAGTCTGTCCCAGGGAAAGGAGGCCAGGGGGGCTACTCGAGTCCCACTGCAGGTGGAGGGGTGTCAGCCGGCGACAGCGCCCCGCCCCGCCGTCTGCTCCCCGGGACTCCGCTCCTGGTGTGGGCCCGAACCAGGCCACTCACAGTGGAGTCCCATTTCCACCCTGTGAAGGTCAGGCAGCTCCTGCCTGGCCAGCTCAGGAGCCAGCTGGGGGTTGGCAGGGCAGCTCACCAGAGAAGAGGAGCCAGAGCTCCCCACGGAGGCCCTCGGGAATGCCCTTCAGCACCAGGTCCCGGGTCTTGGCCGTGCGGTACATGCACACACCGCGCCCGTATTCAGAGAAGTGGATGTTCCATAACTCCTCCTTCATCTTCTCCTTGGCCTGGGGGAAAGGCAATGAGGAGCTACGTGTGACCCAAGTTGCTCTCCTACCTTCCTTCTCCATCTGGCACGCTGACCGCCACCTCAGGTTTCCAAGGGCTCACAGTACATGCCCCCAGCTCACGCTGCACTGAGCACAGCACCAACCTCAGGCAGCAGGCACATGGGCCTCCCTGCAGAGGCCTGGGGCCCATAGGGACGACTGCCTGTGATAGGCACAGAATCACAGGCTGGCCCTGCCCCCCCGCCCCCCCCCCACGTGGGCCTGGCATGGCAATGGAGCCCCGCTCTGGGCTTACCCCTTTGGCCCCCAGGTCCTCCACTGGCGCGTTTCTCCGGAAGAGCTTGAGCAGGCCCTGGGAAGCAGTGGGCGCCTCCTGCGCGAGGGAGCTCTGGCAGCCACCACAGGGTGAGCCGGGGCTGGCGGGCTGCTCTGGTGCCTCCTGAGGAGCTGGAGAAGACTGGAAAGTACAACAGAGGGCGACACTGAGCCTGCAGGCCTCCCAGGTGCACGCAGTCACTGCCCGAAGGGGGCAGCACGGGGTGGGCACACCTGGTCTGGACCAGCAGGAGCCTACGCTTCGGCCTGGTCCCACCGCCTCGCCAAACTCCTACACTGTCCTCCTTCACCAGGCCCACCCACGCCGGCTGGCTTCTCACTGGAGGGTTCTGGCCCATCCTGTGAGGCCTGCTCAGTGAGGTCAGGGCCAGGAGAGAAGAAACTCTGAGGAGCCGCTCGTGTACCCCAGGGACCTGCCTGCAGTGCTGAGCTCCCAGGGACACTATCCTTATTCCAGCCTCTGGGCTGCAGACCCAGCGGGCCCCAGAGATGGCTGATGGTGGCATCTGCCATGACTGTTCCCGGGCCCCTGGCCACAGGGATCAGCTCAGGTTGGGACTGCCAGGAAAGAGCACTGGGGACCCCATGGAGCACGCACCGAGCCATGCAGGAACGTGGCGCAGAGCCTGGCCCCAGCGCAGGCCCAAGCCTGACAGCCTTTTCAGAGCGACGGGTCCCTCCTGCAGGTGCCTCCACGACTGTCTGCTGAGTGAGGGAAGGCGGCCTTCCTCAGGCTGCCCGTCCACTGCACTCCCGGGGCTCTGGGGCAAAGATTGTTCACAGACCTAGAACTGGATGTAAGGAAGGGGTCCTCGCCTGTGGATTATCTCTACTTCGGGCTACCTCCCCGCAGGGTAACCTGTATTAGGGGAGGCCCCGCCCCAGTGCAGGAGCCTGGGAATCTGCTTTCCCATTGCACAGATAGCCAACGGCAAGAGAAATGAACCCTGTGGGCTTTGGGAACCTACGGGGAATGCACATAGGGATGGCAGAAGGGGGGCACCAGGAACACAGGTCTGCAAGGAAGCCCTGAACCTCAGGGTTCTTCCCTGGCTTTCTGGAACCGAGCCTCCGGCCCTCCATGCTCATAGAGCAAGTAGGTAAGTTCCTAGCCCTGACTCCTCCCCTCCCCCCAAGGAGAAGGTCTCCTCAGGGAAGCACTGGCATCCTAGCCCCTTTAGGCACAGTGTGGGTGATGCCCGACACCTGCCTTTGCCCCTTGCTCTCCAGACTATATTCTGCCTGTGGGCACCTGACTTCCAGGCAAGCTTGCCACTGTGGGCAATGGCCTGTGCAGGGAGCTTGTCCTCTGGCCCAGGGATCAGGTGGTCTAGAGCCACTGCCCTCTCTGGTTCTCCCCTCAGCTCCTGCCCTGAGTGCCCACCGACAGAAACAGTGCTGCTCTTGGGTGGACACTGGTCACTGGCTCCCTGGAATCCACTTCCACTTCCGCCAGCAGCAGTTTCCCGTCTTCACATGGGCACATCTCTCTCCACTCTTGGACCCACGCTTTGTGGGTTCTGCTGAGACCTGGGGTGATGACCCCACACTAATTAATTAGCATTTCTACTCATAGCCTCAGGGAACTTGGGGTGCTGTGTCACCCAGTGGCCACCAGGACGTGCAGTGGTGACTCTACAGGGAACATGAGGATGAGCCAAGGAGGATGCAGGGGCTTCTGCCATTCTGGTACCACCCAGCCTGGGGATGGTACTGCTGGCAGGAAACCACGTTCAGTGGACAGAAGCCACCTTTGATGACAGGTGGCCACTGCATGGCCTTCTCGGCTTCGTGGGCCAGTGGCTCCCTCTGCCAGCTCCAGTCTGGGCTGGGCTTCTGCCCTTGCGTCCTCCCGTCACCTCTGATCCCACCAGCCACCGCACCACACTCCCCCTTTTCTATGTCCCCTGCATGGGGACTCTCCACGTTAAACCCATCAAACTCTACTCTTTCTTTTTTTTTTTTTTTTTTTTAAAAATATATTTTATTGAGTTTTTACAGAGAGGAAGGGAGAGATAGAGAGATAGAAACATCGATCAGCTGCCTCCTGCACACTCCCCACTGGGGATGTGCCCGCAACCCAGGCACATGCCCTTGACCGGAATTGAACCCGGGACCCTTCAGTCCGCAGGCCGACGCTCTATCCACTGAGCCAAACCGGTTTTGGCAAACTCTACTCTTTCAATATGCACAGCATAGTGTAAGTCCATGGTACCACAGTAGAGCAGTTTTTATTATTATTATTATTATTATTATTATTATTATTAAATATATTTTATTGATATTTTACAGAGAGGAAGAGAGAGGGATAGAGAGTTAGAAACATCCATGAGAGAGAAACATCGATCAGCTGCCTCCTGCACACCCCCTACTGGGGATGTGCCCGCAACCAAGGTGCATGCCCTTGACCGGAATCGAACCCGGGACCCTTGAGTCCGCAGGCTGACGCTCCATGCACTGAGCCAAACCGGTCAGGGCAGTAGAGCAGTTTTTAATAAAAACTTTAAAAAGGAGAAAAAGACAAGCCTGCTAGCTCATATCCACAGCCCACCCCTCTGCCCTAGCTGGCGTTCTGAAATGGATTTGGGGCCACTAAATACTTTTTCATGACAAACTGCTAGAATCCAGGGGAAGGGCCTAGTCCAGACCGAGAGTGTCCTGGTGCAGAGCTTCGTTGGGTGTTTTTGCGATTCTCGGTGGCGAGCGCCACCCTAGCTTCTCCCTCTGCCCTCAGCTCGTTAGCGGATTCTGCATGCAGTTCTGTTTACTAGTCCTTATCTGTCAATGAGCCTGAGGAATCTGCTCCCAGTTTCATGGGCTGTTTCTCAGAGTCACTTGCTGAGGGTTCTGTTCAGTGAGGCATCACTTTTGGGGGGAGGGAGCTATTTTTTGGTTATTTCTGAACTCCAGGCCCTTAGGGCTTTTCCTCTCCCCTCCCTGGCCCCAGCACAGCTGTGATGCTGTGTCTATGCAGAATAATGGTCCCCCCCCCCCCCGCGGTGCTTGGACCCCCACCACTGTAGTCAGGGGTGTGGCAATGCCTTTTCTCCTGGTTTTGTTGAAGATGCTGTCTGTGCACTTTTGCTTTTACTCTTTAAAAAAAAAATTATTGATTTTTTACAGAGGAAGGGAGAGGGATAGAGAGTTAGAAACTTCAATGAGAGAGAAACATCGATGAGCTGCCTCCTGCACCTCCCCCCCCCCCCCCCCCCCACTGGGGAGGCGCCTGCAACCAAGGTACATGCCCTTGACCGGAACAGAACCTGGGACCTTTCAGTCCGCAGGCCGAGGCTCTATTCACCGAGCCAAACTGGTCAGGGCTGAACAACTCTTATCAAGGCCACCAGGACCTCTCTTTGCCATCTCCAGTGGTCAATTCTCCTTATCCTTGACCTCAAACATCTTATGTCCAAAACGGAATTCTTCCAAACCTGCTCTTCCTGCATCGTCCCCTGTCACTGAATGCGGTCTGTTCCCTGAGCTGCCCTGGGCAAAGCCAGTGTCATCTTTGGCCCCTTTCTGTCTCTTAAACCCCACATCTGACCCATCAGTCCTTAGAACTGCCTTCAAAATATACCGTTATACATTAACTCCAAACAATCCCAAAGGAAAATAAGAAAATTTCATTTACAATAGCACCAAAAAGAAAAAAAATATTTAGAATACACTTAACCCTGGAGGTGAAAGGCATACACTGACAAGGAAAAGACACTGATGAGAGAAATGAAAGAAGACACAAAGTGGAAAGACATACGGTGTCCATAGACTGGAAAACCTTAAGACTGTGAAGACATCAGCACTACCAAAGGGATCTACAGATTCAGTGCAACCCCTATAAAAAACCAAATAACTTTTCTGCAGAAATAGAAAAATATTTTCTCAAATTCATATGGAAACTCAAGGGATCCCAAATAGCCAAAAACATCTCGGAAAAAGAATAAAGTTGGAGATCTCAGACTTCCTGATTTAAAAATTTACTGTAAAGCTACAGCAGTTAAAACAGTATGGCACTGGCATAGAGACAGACATATAGACCAATAGAATAGAACTGAGAGTTCAAAAATGAACCATCACATTTACGGTCAAATGATTTCAACAAGGGTGCCAAGACCATTCAATGTGGAAGGAATAGTTTTTACAACAAATGGTGCTGAAAAACTTGGATATCACACACAAAATGATGAAGTTGGAGCCTTACCTCACATTATACACAAAGACTAACTCAAAATGGAGCAAACACCTAAATACAAGAGCTTAAATTATAAAACTTTTAAAATAAAACAGAGGAAAAGCTTCATGACATTGAAATGACAATTATTTCTTGGAGGTGACATTAAAAGCACAAGTAATAAAAGAAAAATTGGTAAACTGAACTATATTAAAATTAAAAACTTATCTGCATCAAAGGACACAATTATCAGAATGAGAAGGCAACCCATAGAATGGGAGGACACATTTGAAAACCATATGTCGATAAGAGTCTAATATCTGCAATATATAATGAAGTTCTGCCCTGACCGGTTTGGCTCAGTGGATAGAGCATCAGCCTGCGGACTGAAGGGTCCCAGGTTCGATTCCAGTCAAGGGCATGTACCTTGGTTGAGGGCACATCCCCAGTGGGGGGTGTGCAGGAGGCAGCTGATCGATGTTTCTCTCTCATCGATATTTCTAACTCGCTATCCCTCTCCCTTCCTCTCTGTAAAAAGTCAATAAAATATTTTTTTAAAAAAAGAAGTTCTAACCCTCAACAACGAAATCAAATAACCCAATTAAAAAAATACCTGATGCCAACCTGGCTCAGTGGTTGAGTGTTGACTTATGAACCTAGAGGTCATGGTTTGATTCCTGGTCAGGGCACATGCCTGGGTTGCAGGCTCGATCCCCAGTACAGCATGAGAGAATCATTGATGTTTCTATCTCTCTCTCTTTCCCTTCCTCTCTGAAATCAATAAAGATATATATATAAAAAAAATAGGCAAAGGACCTGAATAGACATTTTTCAAAAGAGGATATACAAATGGCCAATAAGACATGAAAAGATGCTCAACATCACTAATCATTGGGAAATGTAAATCGAAACCAATGAGATACCACATCACACCCATTAGAATGGTTATTGTA